GCCAGGGCACTCCCGGCCCCGCCACTCACGCACGATGAATGCAGGAACCCGCCTGGTCCCAACAGCAAGTGCTGGCCGGGGCTGGTCAAGGGCAGGGAAGGGGTGAGGGCTGGGAGCGCGTCTTCCCGCTCCCCACAGACAGCAAACATACCCTGTCCCCAGCGGGGCCTTGAAGGGCAGAGGGGACACATGACAGCACCCAGCAAACCCCTTCACCACTTTGATTCCTCCTCCCGGCAACTCCTGAGCCCTAGCTGGCACTCACCGTCACGGGGACGCGGCCACCAGCTCCATTCTGGTGCGAGTCCGACAGGCGCCCGAAGGGTGACTAAGGGAACCTGGCCCGTGGGTGTCACCTTTCAGCAGGAGGCTGGTGGCGTGCCTCAGGCCACGGGGGAGGGGCTTGGCCCGGCCAGCGCTCTGTGTTTCCCCAAGCTGGGCATGGAGCACGCCTCTGTCCGCGCCCGCAAGTCTAGGCCATCTGTGACGGTCCTCACGCGGCTCTCGGACCCCGAGCTTAAGAGGCGTCTCCATACGCTCTCGGGGGCTTGCTCGGCCCCAGGGCCACCTCCCTCTGACTTGTCACATTCCTGTACTTAGCCCTACTTCACTGCTCATGCAATCAGCCCCTTGCCCAACTCTGAATCCCTGGAGAGGGTTTTAGACACTCCTGTAACACAACAAGCAGACGGGGAAACCGGACGGCGGCAGCTCCCGGCCCCGCGTGCTCATCTGTCACGCACCTGCCCGAGAGGGAGGACAGGGCTCAGCACAACGTGAGTGTGACCACCTCGGGCACCACGGAAAGAACGAGGCACAGGTGGCCAGGGGCCCGCCGGCCAGCAGGCGGGTGGTGTAACGTCCTTTTGCAAATTCTGAGATGATTACGCTGATGGGGCAAGCACGGCTGCCAAGGTGTGAGAGGCTGGCCGGGGACAGCCTTGACCTGCACTGCTCGGCCAGCAGGGCTGGGAGTGTCACCGCTCGGTGTGAGCAGCCACCTGCTGCAACCTACAGCCCAATGTGGGGGAACGCAGGGGCCGTCAAGTCCTGTGTCCTTGTTTTACAGATGAGCAAACAGCGGCCCAGAGGTCACGTGGAAATCAGCAACATCCCAGGGCTGGGGCCGAGGTCCCTAGCTCTGGGCCAGTGCTCCTTCTCTATCTACTGAGGCATGATTGGCAGCAAAAGTCGACTGTCATCGGGCACCTTGCTTGGTCCCCTAGAAAATGACCTGGGCTCACACCTCGGTTCTGCCACCCACAAGCTGGGTGAGTCTTGGACAAGTTAAATGCCCTTTCTGATCCTCATCTGCAAAATGGGGATAAGGACAGTATCTGCAAGAGTCCAATCACAGAATCACAGTGCCCGGGGCAGCTGGGCTCTACACGTCACCATCGACATTCCCGGGGCCTTGGGCAGGGCCACAGCTCTGGGAGGCCCTGCCACGACAGATCTCAGACCAACCACGGCCCCATGTAGACAAGGAGGGAGAATTCCCAGCCTCAACCACCTCATAGGATTACTGCGAGCGTCAACCAAGACCCATTGTCCACTCAGCGCCCAGTGCAACCTTCCCTTCTTGGAGCGACAAATGGAAAGAAAGAGGCAGGTGGCGGGAGTGCGTCGCCAGTGTGGCTTCCACTGGGGGCATCTTCCTCCGCCAGGGGACAGAAAGAAGCTCGCATTTGGTACGTGGGCACCCATCTCTCTGTCCCGATCAGGTGTCAGGGCCACTCCCTTACGATCAGCCCGGACAGGACACTCAGCAACAGCTTCCTGGGCGTCCAGCCACGGGCCACTTGGGGCGGTGCGGGGGGAGGGGCGCACTGAAGGGGCCAGCATTTCTCCAGGGAGGAGAAGTCTCTGGGCCCCCAGCAGCGTGCGCTGGGCTGAATTAACGTCTCATCTGTTCCCGGACCCAACGGGGACGCTCTCAAGGACTTTGTGTGTGTCTGGGGAGCCAGAGGGGACCATTTTTCGGTTATTCCAAGAGAGGAGTTTTTTAAAATGCCAGCACAGGGGTTGCAGAGGGGAAGGAGGGAAATGTTAGGGAGCACTCTGGGGAGAGGAAGTGGTTCTTAGCAAGTCAGGTGGTTTCCTGTGTCATTAGCACTTATTGGGCATGTAGTGTATGACGGTCACCGTGCTTAGAGTTTTACACGCATGGTCTCCTTGACATCTCCCCACACCTGGGCGACAGGTACCACCGCCTGCTGCCCTTTACAGGTGAAGACACTGAGGCTCAATCACTCCCCAGGTTCACACTTTAAGGACCCATTTGGCCTCACTTAGGAGCCCGAGCACCTCCTCCTCCTCATCCACCTTGCACTCTCTTGTGCTACGTGCAGAACTTCTCCCCTACAGTCTAAGAAAAGCCCTAAGTCAGGGAACACAAGGAGCGACTGTTAGGGGTCACTGTCTGGTTTCTTAGAGTTGTGGGCTTGTTTTTCTTTTCTTTTCTTTTCTTTTCTTTTCTTTTCTTTTCTTTTCTTTTCTTTTCTTTTCTTTTCTTTTCTTCTTTTCTTTCTTTCTTTCTTCTTTCATTCCCTTCCTTCCTTCTTCTTCCCTTCTTCTTCTTCTTTCTTTTTCTTCGTTTCTTTCTTTCTTCTTTTTCTTATCTCTTTCCTTCTCTCTTTTTCTTTCCTTAATTTCTTTCTTCTTTTGTTTGAAATACGAGCCTACTCTGTTTGCACCCGCTAGAGTGCGGTGGCATCAAGTCCCTGCCTTAAGCTCCAGCAAACCTCACACCGCGCCCCTGGGCTCATCAACGAATCCTTCCTGCCGCTCAGCCTCCCCCCGCCTCCGGAGTTAAAGCGGGACGTAACCCGGTCAGCACCCACCAATCCCGGCTCATTTTTTTTTTCCTATCTTTGGTAGAAGATGGAGTCTTGCCTGTTGCTCAGGCTGGGTCTCCAAACTCCTGAGCCCAAACAATCTTGCCTGCCTCGGCCTCCAGGAGGTGCAGGATTACAGGTGTAGAAGCCCACCATGGGCCAGCCGTGGGCTTGTTTTGCAATCTCTCTGTGTCCATTCTTAAGGAACTTAAAAGGCAACAAAGAAATAAGCAACATTTATGTGTCAATTAAAAAACATAAAATCAGCCAGGAGCGGGCGGTGGGCGGCGCCCCTGTATGGTCCCAGGCTACCTCGGCGAGGCCTGAGAATGGGAGGTGCTTGAGCCCCAGGAGTCTGGGCTGTATGCGCTATGCCGATTCGCGTGTCCGCCACTAGATTCGGCAATCAAAAAGAATGTGCCCTCCGGGGCCGGGACACCACCCCACGGTGCCTAAGGAGGGGGGTGAACCGGCCCAGGCGGAAACCCCGGAAGCAGGTCAAACTCCCCTGCTGATTCTCAGTAGTGGGGATGCCGCGCCTGGTGAATGACCAGCTGCACTCACCCCCAGCCGTGGTCAACAAATAGCCGAGACCACCCGTCTCCTAAAAAAAAAATAAAAAAAAAAAAAAAAAAAACATAAATCAATTAAATGGAAAAAAAATCAAGAGCCCATCTATTATTGCTTAAGAACAAAAAAGAAAGAAGCAGCAAAACTACTTCTCTATAACCTCATGTACTAATAATGTAAAAAAAAAAAAAAAAAAAAACTACTTCTCTAGACTTTCGGTTCTTCTACTGGGAAAGGCTTTCAGGGAAAGAGAAGTGTTTTGTCCAAATAAAGAAAAAGCCATTTAAATCAAGATCTAGCTGCTAGAATCTCAGAATCAGGAAAAGCCGCATCTGGAAGACAGTTCAGAGAGGATGAACACCTCCCAGGCATAGAGACAGACAGGAGGGAGAGCAAAGAGAAGGGGACATCTGCATTAGGACTTTGAAGGTTGAATAGGAGTTCACCAGATCACCAAGGGGGCAGGACATCTGGAGCAGAATTTGCTCATGGCACTATGCTAGATAGTGAGTTTGTACTATTCCAGATAAAGATGGGGACTCTGCTAGTTACTAAATCAGGAGCTGTGATTAGCAAATTCGTACTATTGCAAAAGATAATTATTTGTTTTGTTTTTTGAGACAGAGTCTCACTCTGTCGTCCTGGGTAGAGTACAGTGGCATCAGCCTAGCTCACAGCAACCTCAAATTCCTGGGCTCAAGCAATCCTCCTGCCTCAGCCTCCCGAGTAGCTGGGACTACAGGCATGCGCCACCAAGCCCGGCTACTTTTTCCATTTTTAGTAGAGATGAGGTCTCTCTCTTGCTCAGGCTGGTCTCGAACTCCTGGCCTCAAGTGATCCTCCTGCATCCTCCTCCCAGAGTGTTAGGATTACAGGCGTGAGCCACTGCACCTGGCCAATTATTTGTTTTAAGATTTCTGCATCTGAAGAAGATAATGTGAGAACTTTTAGGTGACAGTGGAGGGAGGCGTGCCATCCCCACAAACTGTAAGACTGGAGAAGGCGCACCCCGCCGTGTGAGCCAAGAACCTCTCCTTCCCCTGCAACTGTGACCAAGGGTGCTGGTGCCATGCCAGGCCCCCCTGCCCCGAAGGAACAAATGATCACTGAGATCAAAAGAATTGCAACCGGCCAGGCATGGTGCCTCGCGCCTGTAATCCTGGCACTCTGGGAGGCCAAGCTGGGAGGATTACTTGAGCTCAGGAGTTTGAGACCGGCCTGAGCAAGAGCAAGACCCCGTCTCTGCTAAAAATAGAAAAAATTAACCAGACGTGGTAGTGCACACCTGTAGTCCCAGCTACTCGGGAGGCTGAGGCAGGAGGATCGCTTGAGCCCAGGAGTTTGAGGTTGCTGTGAGCGAGGCTGACGCCACGGCACTCTAGCCTGGGCAGCAGAGTGAGACTGTATCTCAAAAAAAAAAAAAAAAAAAAAGAATTGCAACCGTCATTTCTAAGGACAGACTCTGTTCTCCGATGCTCCCTGACTACAAACACTAAGGGGCCTTGTACTAATAATTAACAATGACAACGATTCCTCCCATCACAATAAGCCTCTTGTATTCAGGATCTTGTTTATTCCTCACAGCAGCCCTACCTTCTGAGAAGTATGATTCTTAATTCCATTTCACAGGTGAGAATCCAACATCCAGAGAGGTGGAGTGACTTGTCTGAAGTCACACAGCTTGGAGCCGCACGGTGTTCAATGCTAGGCTGCCCGATGACGACGCTCGGTTTGTACCAGCTGGAGGTGACCGGGCCGTCTGTTCAGTTGTTGACTGGGCCGCCCTCTTGCATCAGTGGAATCAGAACCTGGGAAAGAGGCCCAAAGAGGGTCAGCAGTTCTCGAACTTACAACGTCTTGTAGCATCTGGGTTCTGGGGCCCCCCAGCCAATACTGTTAGCATAAGCATAAAATAACGACATCTCAAGTTTGGGGCCAAACTCCAAACCACTCCATCCTAGAGTCAGGCACAGGTGTGCGGCACGAGAGGCCTCCGATTGTGGAACAACTTCAGGAAGAAAAGCACAATTGAGTAAAGTCTGTACCAGCCTGAGCAAGAGCGAGACCCCGTCTCTACTATAAATAGAAAGAAATCAATTGGCCAGCTAAAAATATATAGAGGAAAACTTAGCCGGGCATGGTGGCGCATGCCTGTAGTCCCAGCTACTCGGGAGGCTGAGACAGGAGGATCGCTTGAGCCCAGGAATTTGAGGTTGCTGGGAGCTAGGCTGACGCCACAGCATTCTAGCCTGGGCAACAGAGCGAGACTCTGACAAAAAAGAAAAGAAAAGTCTGTACGTTTCAGTCTCCTCCCCGTTAGGAAAGGAGTAGGTGGCCATGCCTCCCACGGTGCTCCGGGAGTGTAGACCCAGGAACGTGCAGGCCTGCAGTGTACACTGTAGGTGCTCAGTGGATGCCTGTTGAGCCAAACCAAACTTCTGATGCGGTGCACCTGCCGGGCCAGGCAAAACTGGCCCGAGTGGTCTCCGTTCAGCCCCTGCCTTGGAGGAAAGTGCGAGGAGCCGGTTTTCTACCTCCAATGGGAAGAGAAAACGTGTTGTGGTGTCTCGAAGGCGTGTTAGGCTGATCTGCTCGGCCAGGGTCTCACTTGAGCCATCCCTGCAGGGACCGCTCAAGTCCACTGCCCCACTGTCCTAGGTCCTGGGCCCTTGCCACCTTCCCAGGTGGGATTCTGTCCTCCTCCTCCTCTATTCCTGCTGTGCCGAGACTCTGCCTCCTTCGGCCATTCACGCCCTGCCCTCGTGGGTTTGTGATCTCGCGGGCAGGCAAATAAAATCACAAACCTAAGGGCACGACCAGGGGCATCGCCACGGAGGAGGAGTTCCTGGTGTGTGACGAGGGACGCTGGCTTGGTCTGCGAGGGGAGGCAAGGCTTTCTGAAAGCAGGAGTTTCTGCTGGGATGAGAGGGGTGTGACTACAGGCAGAGGAGCTGACAGGAGCCTCAGTTTCCCCACCTGTAATATGGGTATAATAATAGCACCAACCTCATCAGCCTGTTGGGATGGTTAAATGAGCCCGTGTAGGTAGACTGCTTAGCCAGACAACCAGGAGTAGCTGCCTCGATTGTTGCAGCTACTTTTCTCCCTATTTTGTTACTCAGGGTGGTGCTGGCCGGCCATTGAGAGACCGAGGGTCTGCGTGCAATGCTTCACCCTGACATCAAGCTGTTACATGGCGGGCACCTCTTCCCCCAGCTGCCCCGGCCCTGCTGGCTGAAGGCCTCTGCCCAGGCTGGTCCCGGGGCAGGACCCTTGCAGTAGCCAATAGCGGAGTGGCCTGGCAGGAGGCGGGCTGAGAAGGTGCATGTGTTTACAGGTCGGCCTGGCCATGCGGCGCAGATTTCCAAAGCAGAGACCTGGCCACCTTGTCCCAGCTTGAGCCACACCTTACCCACTGGGGACAGGCGCTCTGCTGCAAGGTGTGTCTTAGGGCTTTCCGCCCGCTCTGGAAATCTAGAGGCAAATATTGGGGGAAATTGATTGAGCCCCAATTGTGACTTGCCTTCCTGCATAAAAGCAACCTCTCTTCCGTCCTGCCCCTTCCAGACATAAGTAACAACAGCTCTAGACACAGAATCAGAGGCTCCAGGGAGGCAGGTCTTGGCTCTGTCATCAGCCAGGAAAATTTCCAACGTTGGTTCTGCGTTTGAGTTTTTGAGTAACACCAACCTCTCGAGGCTCTCCTAAGGTGTAAATGATGAGAACATGGACTCAGAAGAGCTGTAGGTTGTACAGATACAGAGGGTATCAATCCCAGTCTGGGCCGGGCGCGGTGGCTCACACCTGTCATCCTAGCACTCTGGGAGGCCGAGGCGGGAGGATTGCTCGAGGTCAGGAGTTCGAAACCAGCCTGAGCAAGAGCAAGACCCCGTCTCTACTATCAATAGAAAGAAATTAATTGGCCAACTAATATATATAGAAAAAATTAGCCGGGCATGGTGGCGCATGCCTGTAGTCCCAGCTACTCGGGAGGCTGAGGCAGGAGGATTGCTTGAGCCCAGGAGTTTGAGGTTGCTGTGAGCTAGGCTGATGCCACGGCACTCACTCTAGCCTGGACAACAAAGGGAGACCCTGTCTCAAAAAAAAAAAAAAAAATCCCAGTCTCGAGGGCTCTCTCCCTTGCAGCGGGCAGAGTTCAGAAGCAGGGGCACTGGATCCCAGTGCGCAACTCAATGAAGCGTAAGCAGGCCGGCCTCACCTCCGGATCCGGCTTTTCACCAAAAACTAACGTAAGTCACCTTTGAGTTTGAAACTAAGAACCCTACGGGCAACGCTGTGCATTGGTCAGAGTGCAGGGTCTGGAGAAGCCGGATTCAGGTTCTATTTCTGCTCTTTGTCTCCCGTGTGACCTTGAGCAAGTTTCCTCCCCTCTCTGAGCCCTGGTTCTTTCACGCATACAATGAGGATGATCAGGAAGTCTTCCTCATAGAGTTTTGGTGAGGTTTAAGGAGACTGATACATAATACACATCGAGTGAACAATGAAAGAGTGTGCTAATATTTATTGTCCCCTCCACGATGTACCAAGCACTGCGCTAAGTGCTTTGCCTAAGATCAAGTTCAAGCCACTGTTGTGTCTCTCTCTTGGAGCACTGCACAGGCTGCCTGACCCAGCTCCCTGCTCCGTCTTCTCCCTCCCGTCCATCACGCACAACTCACAAACACCCTAGCGTCCAGGTTATGGTTTCTAAGCACCTTTTCCACCAAAAGGAACCAGGACTCCTCAGAGCAATGGCTGATTCTGGGGCTGGGGCAGAAATTCACAGGATGAGCTGAGCTAGAGGTTGCCAGAGCACTACTCGTTACTCTGAAAATAGACTTACCAAAAAAAGGGATATTATCAAGCATGCATCCTGCCTTTTAGGGATGGTATTTCAGGGTACCCGAATGGTTGATGAAAGTCATATGGTCTAGAACAAGGACAGCTAACAAGTGCAGAAGACTCAGTGGAAGTAGAAATTTCACTATCTGCAACCAGTAATGCAAGAATCATCACCTGGGCTTTGCTCATCAGTGGCTTGTAAAACCACTTGGCCAAGGTGATGGGAAAGTTGACAAGGGAGGGCATGCTGACACCCCCAAGCTCAGATAAGCCAACATCACTAAAAGTGGCATAGCTGGACATTATGTTCTTCTAGGCGTGAGGCAGCAGACAAGCACAGAGCAACACCTTTGCAGTATTCTTGTCAAGGATTTGCATCCGAATTGGCATAAGCCTCTGGACATAAGGATTCATACTTATTTCTAGGTATAGAGCGACGAGTTACAGGACAGTTAGAAGATGCAATCAGCCAAGTCCAGAATGTGGAAAATCCTACGGGACAAATGACTCAGTTTCTTCACAAAGTAAATGGCATTTAACAAAAGGAGAGATGGTGATTATTATAGACTAAAAGAGACTTAACACAACTTTTATGGGTCCTGATTTGAACAAAACTGTTCAAGACATGTTTGAGACAATTGGAGGACATTGAGCTTGAGCTATGTACTAGATCGAGGAATTAGCATTAATTGCAGTGGAAAGAATTATGGCAATTGTTTTTTTAAAAGTCCTCATCTCTTTTAGAAATGGGTATTTATGGGTAAAACTATATGGTATCTGGCTCTGAGATTTGTTTGAAAATACTCTGTATGCTGAAGTATTCAGGGATAAAGATGCTAATGTTTGCAATTTATGTAAAATGCATAGAAAACTTAGGAAGATAGAAGACTGACACATGACAGAAAATATAGCAAGATGTCAATGGCAGGATCTAAGTGGTGCATGTATGGGTGCTCACTGTAAAATTCAACTTCACTGTATGTTTGAAAATTTTATAACATGTTGGTTGGGAAAAAATACAGGGAAAATAGGTGCAGGTGTAGGAGATGAAACTAGAAGGGCAGAAGGTCAATGGTTATTGAAGCAGGGTGGTGAACTTACTAATACTTAATAAGTGGGGGCCTCATTGTGCTATTCACTCTATTTTTTTTTTTTTTTTTTTTTGAGACTTGCTGTCACCCAGGCTACAATATAGGGACATACTCATAGCTCACAGCAACCTCAAATGCCTGGGCTCAAGTGATCCTCCCGCCTCAGCCTCCCAAAGTGCTGGGATTGCAGGTGTGAACCACCATGCCCAGGCTATTCACTCTACTTCTGAATGTGTTTTTTAAAAACTTTTTTCCTATACCAAAAAGATTAAAAAAATACATAAAATACAATGCAAGCGCCCCAACTCCTGCTTAAAATCTGAATATTAGTAGCTAATGCTCATCAATACTAATTTGTGCTAGGCTTTGTATTAAGCATTTTATAATCATTTCTCATTGCACCCTGTAAGATCAGCACCAGGAGAAGCCTGATGTTACTGAAGAGAAAACTCAGGGTTCAAAAGTTAAACTGGTCCGAAGTCACCTGCCCTGGCGGTAGCAGCTGAACCAAATCGTAGCTTTTCAAGGGCTGCTCACTGCACTCCTTCCCATGAGCTACATGGCCCTGTTAATCTGGCCCCTCTAAATTCCTCTGCACATGCTGCCTGGAAGGTTCTGGAATGTTCTTCCCGTCCCTGCCCCTTGCATGGTTAGTACCTCTTGCTCTTTTTTTGGCCTTTGTCTTCAGTGTTTCCACCCCAGGCCCACCCTGATAGCATATGGGTCTTTCTTACCCTCTATGACATGTTCCTTTTCTTCACGTTGTTTATCACAAGCCACCATGACACTGTATTTCCACCAATATACTGCCTCCCGTCCCCACTGGAGCATCAGCTTCCTTAGGGTAAGGACTGGCCCTGTCCTGCTCCG